GAAAAGAAAAAGAGAGAGAAAAGAGTGAGAAAAAGAAAAAGAAAAAAGAAAAAGAAAGATGGCGGCAGAAGACGTTACTAGAAAAATTCGAAATAATTGTTAAAGAATTTTTAACTGGCTCTGTGTCTCGTGTAGAAGAAAAAAGAAAATAAAAATAAAAATAAAATGAAATACTAAAAAAAAAAAGTAAACGAAAAAGTGACAAAAAGAGGGAGAAAAACATAGGGAAAAAGAAAAATGGCGGCAAAAGACGTTGGTATAAAAATTTGAAATAATTATGAATGAATTTTTAACTGGCTTTATGTCTCGTGTAGAAGAAGAAAAAATAATAAAATAAAAATAAGTTGAAATACTAAAAAAAAAGATAATATAAACGAAAAAGAAAGGCAAAAAGAATGAGAAAAAAAAAGATGGCGGCAGTAGACGTTGGTAGAAAAATTCGAAATAATTATTAAAGAATTTTTAACTAGCTTTACGTCTCGTGTAGAAGAAAAAATAAAATAAAAATAAAATAAAATACTAAATAAAAAGAAGTAAAAGAAAGAAAAGAGACAAGCAGAATGAAAAAAAAAAGAAAAAAAGATGGCGGCAAAAGACATTAATATAAAAATTCAAAATAATTGTTAAATAGTTTTTAACTAGCTTTATGTGTCTTGTGTAGAAGAAGAAAAAAAAAAGAAATAAAATAGAATACTAAAAAAAAAAAGGTAAACGAAAAAGAGAGGCAAAAAGAATGAGAAAAAATAAAAGATGGCGGCAAAAGACGTTGGTTATTAGAGAAATTCGAAATAATTGTTAAAAAATTATTAATTAGCTTTACGTTTTGTGTAGAAGAAAAAAAAATAAATTAAAATACTAAAAAACAAAGTGAACCAAAAAGAAAGAGACAAAAAGAGTGAGAAAAAAACAAAATAATGGCGGCGAAAGACGTTAGTATAAAAATTCGAAATAATTGTTAAAGAATTTTTAGCTGCCTCTGTGTGTTACTCGTGTAGAATGAAAAAAAAAATAAAATAAAATAAAAGAAAGAAAAAAATAAAATAAAATACTAAAAAAACATGCTCGTACTACACATACACGTGTTTACGTGTATATGGTGTGTGTGTATATGTTTATGTGTGTGTGTGTATAATAAATGTGTTGGAGAAGCCACCACGGTCAGTTTTGACGTCATTACGCACGCACTCATCGTGCGACAGACCGATTCACGTTAACACAACAATTAGATATAGAAAGAGATAGATGAAATAAAAAAAAAATAAAAAAATAAAAAAGGAAAAAGGAAAAAGAAAAAAGACATATATTATAGTAACGGAAAGAGAGAAAGAGACAGAGAGAGAGAGAATGATGAACTAAAAATTTTGTCAAGCGCGTGCAAAGAACCAGCTGCGTTTGCGCAAACGTACTTACGTACATCATACTTACACGTGTATATAAATATATATATATATATATATATATATGTGTGTAAATGTGTGTATATGTATTTGTGGTACAATACGATAAGAAGAAACATTTTGAAGAAAGATCTTATTTTTTTCCTTTTCTTTTTTAAAACCAATATTTCCTCCTTCCCCTTCCTACACCTTCCCTGACATCCCTTCACCTCCCGCATCCGTCCTACTTTTTTATCATTAGAAATAAACACATATCCTATCCAATAAGGAAACGTCGTACAGAAATCACTCTTTTTTTTTTTTTATCTATTTTGATATTTGTAACATATTTTTTTTTTTATATTTTATAAATAAGTATATATATATTAATATAACATATTAATATTATTTAAATTAATATTAACATATATTAATATTACAAATTTTAATTATATTAATATTAATTATTTACAATTAATAAAATTTTAATATTTATATAATATTATTATCTAATAGATTATTTAATATATTATTTAATATATTATTTAATATATTTAAAATGAAAAAAATTATAATATTAAATATTATCATACTTAATATTAAAAAATATTATATTTTAGATTAAATATTATTATTATATCTAATATTAATATAATATATTAATATTAACCTGTAAACTGGACAGGACGTATAAATACGTCAAACGTATTGCTTTTAAAGCTAAAGATACAAACCTCTCTTTGTACATTATATATAAATAAACGAAAAAATATATATATTTTATAGTCTTTTCATTTATTTTAAGTATAGATAATAATAAATAATAAATAATGAATAATAAATAAATAAATATATAAAAAATAATAAATAAATAATAAAAAAAGGTACGTAATTAAATAGGAAATTCTCTGGTTTACAGACTAATATATATTTATAAATAAAAATTATAAATAAATAAAAATTAAATTAATATTAATATTATAATATTATTATTATAAAATATATATATATATACATGTATATATGTGTGTATTATGTGTGTAATTTATTATTCTATCATATTAATTTATTATTTATTTTGTATTATTGTTTTAATTATAACAAATGTTGAAAATAGAAAAACTATTTTATTATTGGGATCTTTGGCAAGGGCATGGCGTAGCAATTCGACCTATCTACTCTAATTTTGAATTTAGCCACCAGATAGCGTATTTTCAAGTACTAGAGATCCCACGTAACGTAGAAATTC